TGAGGCTGAATTAATTAGTGTTAAAGTTTATAATCCCTCATTTTTACATAATAGTTACATGACCACAAGTGATGCATAAAAGGAGGAGAAAAAAAAAAAAGTGTTTGGCTTCATTAATCAGTTTACTGATTTAGCTTACAGAATTTATTCACATGCAGTGGTAGCTTAAAACCCCATATCTTACAAGTCCAAATCCAAATCCTACCCAAGATACAGAACAAAGGGATCCCATTTTTAATTTATTTAAATACATTATCTGAGGGGCTTAAAGGAGGAAACAGAGAATGTGCAACACTGCAAATTTAAGGAAGTATAGGAAATTTCAAAACTACATTCAAGGCAGAAACCAAGAGCAGAAGGAAGCAGCGTTAAGCAGGGAACACCTGACAGATGAGTGTTGCACAAGCTTTTACTATGGCTTTATTAACACCACGTGATGCAAACCAACTATTCCTCACTAATTCACGCTTTTGAAGCACCACTAAGTTCACTAAGTATTTTTACAAGAATCCTTTTGTCAGTGCCCAAACAAAGCACAGTTTTGTCCCTTTTGACTGATCATTTCTACAGCCACCATCAGAAATCAGGCCTGAAACTATTCTCTCCGTTAATGCGGCCATCACCAATCCTTAAAGACAGAAACAGATACGCAAGACCTCACACCCTGCGTTCTTTATTCACCGACCGCAAACCCCTTGGATGGTGTTGAGTGTGGTATCTGCACGGCCATTCAGATCAAAACACACCCGACCATGCTGATACACAATGAGCCTAGGCTCTCACTCATCAATTTCTACATTATTATATTTATATAACAATATAATATAATATTTAATATCTAATTTTGCTTTCAAAGCTGCGTATAAAAGCAGAATTAGAGTCAGATGTGACATAAGTTACTACTACCCTCTTCCTCAACTAGTCGTTTGCCCAAGAGCCCGATAGCTTAAGGTGCATAGAAAGGCAAAGAGGAAAACGAGGAGGTGTGTTCCATGTCCTGCACCTCAAGAGAGGCCGTAACAGATCTATAGAACTGCTTCTCATACTCTGTTCCACGTTATATACATGACATGCAGTTTGTTAGCTCCGGATAAATTGCCAACGAGTTAGATGTAGGTTGATTCTTCACTTGCACAATGTCTAGCAGCTCGCTCTCCTATGCATGAATTATTTTGGGGGGGGAACTAAAGGAATTCCTAGATACAGAAGTTCATCTTAAAAAAAAACAAAAAAAAAAAAACAAAAAACCCACCCCCACAAAAAGTAAATACAACTTTGATAAACAGGGAGGAGAGTGTTTCTTTAAAAAAAAAGTCTAATGAGAAACTGTGGTATTACTTGGATGTTGATGCACTATAAGCAGTCCTGGGTGGTACCCTGCAACTGAACACAGAATGTTTCCTAAGCACAGAGCATAACTTCGTAACAATTACGTTATTCACTCGCCAATGTGCAATGCTAATTTCACTTCTTCAGTCAAAACCAATAATAGAAGTTTTTTTCTTTAATGGACAAACACCGAAAGCAGAAGTTACAGATGAAACTGCTCAAAATAACTAAACGGCAAAATCCCAGAGAAAAACATCTGAACTGCTAAATCAAGGAGTTCTGGTAAGAAAAAGACTGAGAACAGCTAGGAGGCAGCGTTTCTTTTAAATACATTTTTGAAGGAGCTAAAGCTGTGTTTTCTTGTCATCTTTATTCAAGTATTTCACAGCAGTTATATTACAAATTACAGTAAAATGTTCAAAATTTCCAGAAGTTCAAAAAAATTAAATAACTTACTTCAAACTAACGTAAAATGAAGTCAAAATGCAAAACATCAATTTAAACACAGTTCTGAATAAAACTATAGAATCCAAAATATACCATAGTTGATGAAGGAAGTCTACTTAATCCACAAAGTAGACACACGTTAATGAAACCAAACAGGACTCCCCGATGTCTAAATAACCCAATGTACAAGATACAAAAGATGCAAGTACAAGCCCAATTTCAAGCTTATGTTGTGATTACAAAATAAAATAAAAACAAAATAAATGACTATCAGCTGCAGGACCTGCCATTCAGGAGACTGAAGGTATAACCAGAGCTGACCCACCAACTTAAAAAAAAAAAAAAGGAAGACAAGTATTACAAAACCCAGTAATCCTATAAATACATTGGCATATGAGGAAATCAAGTAACAATACAGAGGACACAAAACAAAACAAAAAAATTAATCACAGGTGAGATTCAAGCTTGCAAATACAATTAACTCCGTAGCCATCGACTTCACCCAAGAGCATCTCTATTATCTCCAAGACAGCCCCACCAGCCCCAGAGAGAAACCTCCTTCCTTCTCCCAGCCACAGCTCAGCGACCCCAGCACAAGGACTCGCACAGGAGTTTATTTGCAATTTTCACAACAAGAAACAAGGAAGAGAGGTCAATTTGTACAAACTCTTGCCAATGCTATATGGCAAAAAAATTAAAAACGTACAAAGAGTAAACAAGTTTAGACCACATGGATAGATTAACAGCTGTTTTTAACTCTATAACCACCAGACATCTGTAAAGGAAAACAAAAACTGAAGTGTGGTTATTTGGGCTAGGAAGGCGAGTATATCGTTGTAGGTAAGCTGTCCACTAGAACATCTGATATCAGCTACTTTTCTCTAAAACAACATGGCAGCTCCCCAATTAGTAAAGTTGCCTCTTACGATTTTTCCCAACCAACAACTGACAGTGAAAATTTTCCTTTAGAAACATGACCTTTTCGAACCATTTTTAATGCTAGGCATTAGCTTAAACTTGCTTTTTCCACTCACTGGTGACTAAAATTCTCAACTCTTTTCATTTATATAAATTTATTATCTTCTTAAAAATGTATGCAGTTTTATCTTCCACAAGTGCTGCTGTTACTTGAACAAAAACTTCTTTGAGTAAGTGAAACTGGAATAAATATTTTTAAAAAATTCTGCAGCAAGAACCTGAGACTTGCAAAAAACCCTTTTATCAGAAACTTGCTACAAAAAATCTGCTACATTTTATTTAATCAAATCTTAAAGTTTGTAACAATTTCCATCAAAATACAAAATGCTGTTAATGTACCAGACACAAAAATATCTCAAACAGGTATGATGCTAATAAATACTAAACGAAACATGGAAAAAAATCCCATAATCAAATCTGAGATCAAAGAATCTCATTTAAAGTGTGTTTTCTGCTTGTTTTTGTTGTTTTTAATCGCACTTTCCCACCTAAAAAATACAGTGTTTCTGCATGGGTTGCATTTAGAAGGTGTAACTAGATGTACATGAATGCTTAAAACCTTTTTCCGCCATTAGCTATGAAGAAAAACAGTGGCATTCGGGGAAGAAAAAGATCTAAGACAGAATTATGTTTAACCATGATATACAAAGCACTTTGGATTACTGCAGTAGTCCAAGGCCCGTGTTTTGTTTCTCTGCAGCGCTACACTACTATTAGCGGTAGAGGTGGAGACAAGTACCTTAGCTTCCGTTTGCAAATGGGAGCAGAGTGATTACAGTCCTCCATAAACACTGTTGGTAACTAAAAGACAAAAAGCTGAGGTAGCTCAGTATCTCTGCAGTAGTCCAAGACGGTTTTCTCTAATGAAAAACTAATCACACTGTATTGCATATTTCTGGAAAGACACTTCCGCAGCTACGTAGGGACAGTCACAATGAATGGTTAACGATGGTAACACCAGCCAACTTCTCTAAAAGACTTTCCACGTAGGTTTGAAATAAATCAGCCCAGGTAATGTTTTAATACTGAGCTTGTGATAAAACGTGTTTTTCTTGAAACTGCCTAGACTGTTCTCTCCAACTGCCAGAAAGGAAAGGTTCTGAACTACGGAATTCAGACCCAGAGAACTTTGGGCCGAACAGATGGATTCAAAAGGCTGTCCTCCAATCCCCCCACATCAGCAATGCTTTGCATGGAGCGAGGTGTGAAGCCTAGTTTAAGTTTTATTTTCAAGCGAGTTTGGGCTCCAGGACTTTGACCGACTATAGCATCTTCTTACCTGCACTGCACAGTCCAAGCTATATTACAAACACGGAACTTCAGAAAGAAATCTGCCAGTATTAAACTTGGTTTTCTTAAAGAACTCAGAATGGGAAACAAGGACATGGTGGGAAAATGCTTCATTTTTAGCAACACAGAAGAGTTTCACTGTGTAACTTGTTTCTAAAACAAATATATACCAATGAAAAAGTAATTTCACCATTTTGGTAAAGTATGTGGCTTTTTCAGTGTGTCTTAGTTTAGTTCTGTAGAGTAAGACAGGCATTATAGAACCATAATACTAGTTGCCATCCAATGAAGAGAATACAAATCATCCTTTTGGAGATCTTCATTCTGAAGACAGCTTTCTAACATTGCCATTTGCTATAATCCAAACCAAATGATTAGCCTTATCTTTCTCAAATGACTAAAAGGCACATTAAAGGCAGTTCTAGAGAGCCTCATCTTCAAATTACTGTACATCCAGTTACTCAAGATTCCTACCACAATGCATCATTGCCTTCTTTAGAACAGATTTTTTTTGTCCGTTACCCCAGAGAAGAGAAAAATTGGAAAAAAAAATTAAAAAAAGTTTGCCTGTTTAAAAATATTCAACTTAGATCTGCTCTTTCCAGTTCTCTTGTATGTGTTGGTCTCCACTTTGCCTGAAGTTTCCCCAAAGATAATGCATGTAGAGTGAACAAGAGCAGAAATGAGAACAGTTTCTGTAGCACCAAAAATCTCCAAGCTGTGGCATTGTATTCTTTATTTATATCAGATACAACTATATGAAGTTCCGTTTGGTTCTTGTAGGCTGGTTGGTTTCAGGTACCTGAGACAATAGCACCAAATTCAACAGAAAGAAAAAGAGAGAGCACTTAAGACCAAGGCTCTGCACATACTTGGTGCAAATGGAAACTGAATGGCTCAGAGGACTGCTCTCCCGTGAGCAGTTTGAGAGGATAAACCCACCCATCTTGACGAGTTCACAGGAATGTTTCAAACACATGAACTGTTCTTTCCATCTCCTGCAAGAGACATCAATTATACATAAATATACAGAGACAGAAATAAAGTTACATCACAAAATCGTGCTTTTTAAAAAGCTGAACAAATAAATTAATAGGAAAATAAACATTTCTGTTTATTAGCTGCTATCTGCTAGCAAAATATGGTAAAAGAGGAGACTAATTAAAGTATTAATGCAGAAAAGTGCCCCACTATGACGGTCCATGAGAAAATCCAAGTGTGTTAGGGTCACTTATATAATCAAAGTACTCACTATCTATTAAGAAAGCATTGCAATGGCACATTACATGAATTCAAGTCTTACTGCACCACTTACGCTATTGGTGACCCACCTGTAAACATATCTGCACAGTTTGGAAAATCAAAGTAAAGATCAGTTTCTACATAATCCTGCTGGATAAATGTCTTTTTAATCTACCTAACATTTGGCACAGACTTTCAACATATTTTTAGGTGACGATGGCAGAGGAATAGCATGAAAATGGTTTGCAAAGTATTTTGCAGGAACTCTACAATATCCCATGTTAGGGCCTTTCCAGGTTTTGTTGTAAAATATTCATGGAGAAAAATATTTAGTGTGCAGTTATCCAGCTGGAAACTAGCAATTGTCCTTTTTTCAGCAGTGCTGGTTATCGCTGAATGAGCAAGCTGATCCAAACCCCTCTACAGGTACAGCAATGACACTGGAGGGAACGCATGTCCAGTTGTGATCAGCCGATGGTGAAATGACCAACTTATTGTTGATGCAGACAGGAGGCCTTTGACCGCAAACACTTTAAGAGGCAAAGGATGACAGCAAAGCAGACAACTGGCTTACACCACGCTGCGTTGGACTTTCCCAAGGGACTGACCCAATACTTCTCGATCTAAAGAGAGTTTGCAAACTTTTAAGGTCTTCTGTGAAAGTCACAATCAGCAAACTGCATGCAGCAGAGGTACATAATTTTTTTTTTTGGCCTAGTTACACAAATGCAAGTAGGGGCAACCGCAGCAATGTTGTCTCAGTCTGCTTATAAAGCAGCCGCTACATCCACTGTTGTTCACACCCCAAATGTGGAAACTGCTTCTACTCCATTTTTACTCTGCTAGCATGTGCTTCTCCATGCTGCTGTACTCTCTCCTCTTTTCCCTCCATTCTTTTAGGTTAAATTCTTAATCCTTTTCTGAGGAAAGTATTATTAGAAACAACCTCTATTTTTTAAGTCATTACTACACTAAACTTTTTTATTTATAGATGCCTTCCCTCAAAGTCTATTTGAAGCTTTTGCCACCTAGTACAACAATAAATTGATAGATTAACTTAGTTCTTGAAAAAACAGTTTCACAAAATTCAGATAAAGAATAAAAGAAACTGTACAACATCACCTCTATAAGTTGTGATTTGTCATAGTCTCTACGATGTCTGTAGATGCACTGACTGAGGAGTGAATACAATCTCTCAAGTTGGTCAACAGTCAGGTTGTCACTTTTCTTAACCACCAAATCAAGCAGTTTCTGTTGGAACAACAAAAGGTAAAATTAAGATGGGTTTTATAATCACTTTTTTGATTTTTTTTCAAGAGAAATCAGAAATACAATCTCCTTCTGAAGCCCTATTCTGGAGGGACACATACAAATAAAATAGACCACACCAGGCTATCAATCGGTAAGGCCACTGCTTCCGTGTAGATCCAAAAGGACTCAGTGTCTCTAGGCACTTCTCTGCTTATACCCACACTTTTTTCCTCGTCTTAGATTTTATATTCAGTATAGCTGGGGCAATGTTTGCTCTGTTTGAATGATACTTCACCCTATTTCATCTTGGTCAATAATTATGACAAAGCTAACCGTAAAAACTGCCTTGATAACTAAAGCAGACATTGTGAAGAACTTGCATTGGCATGAAATTGTAAGTACCAAATGGAAACACATTTGGAATTCCACAAATGTTGAAAAATGGTACAATAAAAGAGGTGGACAACACATGTAAAACTGCTCATAAACAAAAGGTGAAAGTGTGTATTTTACATAGCAGCAGATAGTAAATTTTAACATTTTTTTCCCCTCTCAGAACACTTCTATTGATTCCAAAGAGAGTATCATCTGTACTCCGCAGCAAGTGGGATCTAAATTTCATAGTAGGTGAAGCTAGTTTCTACAACAGGAGACAGCAAATTTTATTGTAACTTTGCTTTAAAAGAGACAAAACTGAAAGAAAATTAACTAGCAGGGGTTCAGTCTATGATGCCAAAACATCAGCACAAATTCCAATTTGTTTCCCAATCCACTAACAGTTCTTTCCACCAAGTATATGTACATGGGAAGGGAAGAGATGATGGTAACTCCTAATTACTAGGCACCCAACGGTTCCTCAGTAACTGGCAGGTCCAATTAACACATAAGAATACCTGCAAAAACTGCAATTAAAATAGCAGACTGCTGTGCCATTACTCGATTTGTAAAGTTAGTAATGATGGGACAGTAAGGATTCAGTAGTTTTATTAACTTTTCATCCAAAAACCACTGATTGACAAATCATCTTCGAAAGTTACTGCAGCCATATTATTTGTTTGCAGTCAAAAATAAAGCAAATGTTACTTCATAGCAGAGGAAGGAAGCATTTTTCATGGACAGTTTCATTAACAGTTTGACTCATTTTTCAGTTCCATTACCTTTAGTCTGTCATGGTCAACAACTACAGAGGGCAAGGGATCCAATGGTTCCTCTGGGACCTGCTCCAAACTTGTGGGCTTTGACTGTTCCATAACGACTTTTCGTGTTTTCTTGCTTTTGAATATACCTGTAATTTAAAAAACAATTATCAGCACTGTCAGTCTCTCAAAGTGAACAGCTTGGTTTCTTTCACTTCAGTTTGATTTTGCTTGTTTGGTTTGTTGGGTATTTTTGAACAAAGCAAGCATGACTGTAGCAGTACGCATCATTCATCAGTTTTACAGAACTCTGAACATTTACAGGTGCACAAAACCACAGTTCAGAAAACACACATGAAACTGGTCATATTTAAAACTGAACTCCAAAGTCCCAACAGAAAACTGAATGTCACTGAAAAGTTCTTCCATTGTATTTCTACTTAGCAGCATCAAATTATACAGCTTCTAAGTGAAGTTCAGATATTAAGCTAATGCTCAAAATCTTTCTGCCTAAGTGAATCAAATCCTCATTTTTCCCTCCAAAGCATCTCATGTCTTCATCACCACGGTAATTCTAGCATCTGTTCTGCTCCTAAAACTTCATGCATTTGTGACACATTTCTGTTTTCTTCCACCTCTGTATTAAAGCTGCTGTCCAACCCTGTTGTGGAGGACAAAATATTTTTATCTCTCATGATTCTCTCCCTACGCTCACATTCACTGTTGTTCTCCTCCTCAACTATTTAAAATGACTTTTTTCTGAGGACCCCCTGTTATTATAACCATCCTTAATGTACATAAAATTCAACTATGAAATTTAGAAGTGTACAGACTCTTAACATAACATCATACTCTTCTGATATTCTTAGGACCTTTCTTCTACTATTCTCCATAGCCTTAGAGAAAATATGTACGTACAAACACAGCCAACATGTATATAGTGATATTCTCCTAATTCAGATCCCTCATTAAAGCTCATTTACTTTGTAAATCTCAGTGCTAACTTTTGAAGTAAAAATTTCATTCTTTTAGATAATTCTGAAACGCTAATTAAAAAGGCAATCATGCATAAGGCTTTTATTTCTCTTCCCTGAGGAAACTATGTCTCTTGTCTTCAAAGGACATGGCCCCTTCTTTTATGCACCACCAGGTTTTCCCTTCTCCTCTTATCTTTTTGCTGCACTGTTACTGTGTTGACTGTAACTCCAAAGCCAGATACCTTCTCCATTAGATAAACAAGAGTTTATCTGGCTTTTGCTATAAGTTAAACTGCTTTAACTTCTGCGATGAGCAAATGTTTTTAAAGAAAAACATTCTGGATTTCTATTGTCTTTCATCCAATGTCAATGATATTCTTACCATAAATCTCTAACAAAATAAGACAAAAGTTATCATATAGATCAAAATATAGATCAGATGATATATGTTTTGTATGTTCTATCTGCGCTGATAATATTTTTTAAATCTTTAATTATTTTTTACATGTTATCTCAGTATTTACAGTATTTCCCATAAAGCCTACAAAAGTGAACAGAATATTGTATCTATGGGGATATACTTACTTGCCTAATATAACATGACAGCAAGTCAAGGGTGGACATCTAGTTTATCTATGCAGAATTAAATGTTAAAGCGTACTAAAAATTTCAAATAAACAGACAGCAGTTCATAAAATATTATTATATAATAATAATTGTAACATAAGATATTACAATTAAAAACAAGACACATATTAACTTGGACACTAAGATAAGGACAGAAACACTGAAATCAAGCTATACCTTCTTTATCTGCTTCAGCATCTTTAGTTTCAATATCTGTGCTCTGTAGTGTTTTTTCATTATTGCTGCAATGTGGTAACTCAGCTTTCACTAGATCAGCTCCTTGACTTTCACCGGAAGCTTCCGATTTCTCCTTTGGCTGATCTTCAGATGAAGATTTCTGCTTGTTACTAGACGCATCCCTGTTGTCACAGGGTGAAATAGCATCAATTGATTCCATTTTACCATTGTGACATGCTGGAACAGGTATACCCTCCGAGCTGTGTACAGACGTCTCTCCATTCACACAGTCCCGTTTTGATGTAGAGTCCTTCCTTAATTCCTTTTCAGCACTCAGAGTGACACTGTCGGTTATTAACAGAGATTCATTTGAGCTCTCTTCTTCTGTGGATGCAAAATTGTTTTCCTTTCCTGATGTCCCATTGTTAAGCCTCTGCTCTGCATCTATATCCATAATATCACAAGAGGATTCATCATTTGTCATAGAGAGATCTCCTGTTTCCTCTCCATTTTCCTCAATGCAGTCAGTGCTGATCTCTAGCTCTCCATTTTCCAGCAATTTACTGTCCTCTCCATGATTTTCATCATCAGCAAACTTTGCATCATCTTCATCTTTCTTTAAATTATTGACTTTCCTCTTCTTAATAATGCCTTTGCCCCACTGCGAGCGCCGTCTTGATTTTCTCCTTATTCGAACTGAATTATAATGAAAAAAAAAGAAACTTTTAGATGCACAGGTTCCCCTCGGTAAAGAGACTAGGATATTAGAATATGATGCAGTGTGTGAGGCAATCAAATGTGTTCACATTTCAAGGAAAAAAGCAAGCTGTCTGTTGATTTCAAGGTGAGCAAATAACAGACACAAAGGACTTTTCGAAGTACAAGGAGTGAACACTCAGTCAGGTACACAATTCCCGCTCTAAACCATGAAAACAAGGAAGACTTGCTAGCCTTTGCTACTTAATGTATTTTATACATATCGATTTCTAGGTAAAAAACTAAAAGAAAAGAGCTGAGCAATGATGTAGAACTCGTACAGCCATTCTCATTTGAGTAATGCAGACCCTAAAGACAGTTATTCTCATTTTCCCTTTTTAGAACCTCAGCGATTTGAAATCGCTGCAAGCTCTACCTGGGATGAGAACCCATAATTTGCCTAAACACGCAGGTACATTCCTAAAACTCGTAAGTATGGGAGAAATCACCTTAAAGTAAAATTGAGTAAAATGAAATCAATCCTCAGTTTCCTTAAATTTCAAGTCTGCCTAAATGACAGTCAGAAAGTCCAGCTAAACTCTCACACAATAGTATTCGAACGTACATTGTGCATGTTGGGTTTTATTGCCGTTTTCAATTAGGACAAAGCAACCACAAAGTGCTGCAGATGTCCTCCCAGGAGTGCTGAGGTTTACACTGAATCAAAACCAGTAAATGCAGGAAGTTTTTCAGCTACCTCATCAAAGTATGCAAACAAAGCCGAGATTTGGTTGAAACATTGCTATTATTATAAAACTGATATTATGTCACAATATTAAAAAAAACCACTAATACCTCCAACCAGCCACTAAAACTTAAGAATGAAGAACAGTATTTCATCACCAGATACTGCAGAACATGTCCTCCTAATATTTAACAGTATTTGTGCTGACAAAAGCATAATTTAAGTACTTCTTGTTTTCACACACATTTAGTCAATAGAATTCAGTTTACATTAAAGTTTACCCATCCCAGACTCTCACTTCTTGTTTTAAGGCAGTACCATCACCACCTGAGCTATGCAGACCTGTAAACAACAAGCGATCAATGCTTCAAATATCCTGACTCTTTTTGTCCATATACTTCTAAGAATCAACTTTTTTCTCCTGTCAGATAAAAGCCCTCCTGCTTTCAACCCCTTCCAGCCCAGCAACTGATGCTCTGATCCTGACTTTCATAAACCCAACCAAATCTCTCCTTTGAATTTATTTAACACAAAACTCCCCGCATCATTTTCATAACCTCAGTGAGATTCTTAGTCCCCTACCTAATGTATCTTTGTGCCCATTCACCAGTTTGCACCTTCTTGATCATATTGGAAGTAGACTTCTAGTCCTCCCATTTAAACTGCCCCTTCAAAACAACGCCTTTTTGTTCTCAACTAGGCTGCATTGCTCCCTCTGTGCAAAGGAATGTCTTTTGGGATAGGAGAAGAACATTTTTGTTCCAGATCCTTAGCACCCATAACATCATTACACAAATTTCTCTTTTACACAGCCAGCCAAGCCTCTAGGAAGAGTGAAAAGCTGAGCAAGGAACACAACGTTGAAAACCAAAAAACACTACCAGTCTGTCTTTCTGTCCTGCCCACTTCCCCCAGTAAAGCTAAGGGAGTGGTACAAGTAGGAGGAGTGTTTAATGGAGCAAGGAACCACGTGATCAAATGTAGAAGTTGGCACCAGATTTCATCATCTAGATTGATTATATTTACTGGAAAGAAAAAAAGCACTACTGCGAGAGCAACGCAGACCTGAGAAGCTGTCACGTGAGGCAGGAAAAAGTAAAATTTATCTCTGAATCCTCCAAGACAGTTGAATATGATTCAAAAAGGAAGAAGGAGCTACCAGAGGGCAAAACTGATGCGAAACTAAAGGGCTAATGGGCAGGAACTAACGGGTTAATGGATTGGTGTTAAAAAATAAGCTTAACCTGGAGCCAGCTCTCCTCTACAGTAATGTTGATATTTTATAAGACTGTATACTAGCAAGAATTCCACACCTTTTATTTTATAGTCAGTATGATTCATTACACATTAAAGTTTTCAGGAAGTAACCAAATGGGATAGCCATTTACAGAAGAAAAACTTCTGAGTTAATGTTGTTAAAAAAAAAAAAAATAACGCAGTATATACAATTGCAAGTTAATGCATTAACACCTTCTCAATTATTCTTTTTAAAACTACTCATCTGAAATCTACCCATTGATACCCAGACTTTTGGCAGCATTTGTGCCAGAGGCAGTAGAAATACTATTGTCAGAGGAATCCTGCTTTATAGAACTGAGTTTCTATAACTCAAACTATTATAATACCAATTATTCACACATGAATACATTCACTTGCCTTCTCAATTGCTGAACTCTTCTCTCTCTATAATCTTCACATAACCTCTACAGATTTGCCAAGGGGATCCTCTCTTCAGGTCTAGCTTCCTTCTGCTTTGCTTTTTTGTAAATTGTTATTCAGAATTCTTAATGACAATAAATACCTGTTCGACCATGAGTCACGCATAACATTTCACTTATGTTCACATGAAGTTGGTATCAAAAACAACCGTTCCCCACTCTTTTTCATCCCCAACACCACAGTATATGCAAACAGCATTTTTAAAAAGTGCAATGTAATATAATGTAATTAATCACTCGATAAAAATTTACCCTACATTTCATTAAGCCGTACGTGGGGTTTCTCAATTCTTATATGCCTATGTTAAGACACTTTAAGAGTCTGCTGAAAGATCCCTAACCTTAAGGCAGACAGCATTTTCCCCAGAGGCGGCCTCCCATGATTAAAAACGAAATTCTGTACTTATTTCAGAAGGACTAGTCCTCTAGGCACAAGTTCAGTAAAAAGAAACCTGTAGTGGACTTTCAGAAATTCTCACCCACTGGCAGTTTCTGCCTTAAGATTCTCAAATCTGATTGATACACAAGTAATGACATCTTCTGGTGGAATACGCACCCTTATCTAGCTGTGCACACCAACCCTGTCCAGAGCAGGGTACAGTTCTTGGATATTAAAGAACAGTGATGGTCAAAAAACCAAAACCAATAAAACTAAAAAATCTAAATCCTCCCCACGTTCCTGAAGTATTTCTGCAAGATCTAGAGGTAACTGTCACCTTTCTGTTTAGTATGGTCTCAGGAAAACAGATCTCAAAAACATGAGTGAATGGTACAGGAGCTTCAAAGTTGAGGTATACGCTGCTGCTGTCCCACAAATCCAGCAGCACAGTGACAGACCTGCAGGCTATACGGAAATAAAGTTAACAGTTGGAAAAGGAAGCAGATATAACTAGAAGATTCAAAGATTGTAAGACATTAACAAGCAAGTCTGCTTGCCTTAATGTGGAGGAACTCTCATGAGAAGATGCAGCAGTCAAAGTAGGTATGTTTCTCTTGAAATTTCTGTAGTTTGACTACTACAGTATATTGAGTGCAGCACAGTATTAGTGGAGGCTAACAAGTTCACTTTATGCTGCAGAAAAGACAACCCTTATATGCCTCTGCACTGCTAAAGAAGTCCATCAGAGAATGTGAATCCTCTTGTCATTAAATGATAAAACTCACATCCATCAAACAGTACTCTGTTGTTACCTTTATTTCACAAAGAATTCCTGGGGATTAAAATCCAATGGAGATTCTCATGGCAAGTAAGATCACCATGGATCTCGATTTTGTGTCTGCAGTATCATCAAGAACCACTTGAAGCAATGCACGTGTTTCAAGTTTTTCTTCCATGATCAAAACCCTAAACTTCTTTCTGATGTCTTGTGTGTAAAGTAACTCAAAGCCTTGAGAACGCACTTACTACCAGCAATTTACACCCTCTTATGCAGCATCCAGGATATCTATATATCTGCCACAGTAATTTAGCTGCTTCCAGTAGCTCCACATTCCTTACCAAGGGGCACTGAATAGTCCACTTGAAAGTCTCTGGGGTTTTTAGTCACAAAGTCCCAAACTGCAGTCAGAGATAAGCAGCAAGAAAGAACAGAGCACAGTTCCACAATGGCTTAAAAAGCAAAATGAGGTGCCAGCTTCCACTAACAGACAAAGCCATTTCTCCCTCCAAAGCCAGCTATAGCATTTCCACTACCTCATTTGTGCCGGCACTACTGTTCCTGCAGTAAAACAGATAAGGGAAGTAAATCCATCTGAAACGTTGTATTTTTTTTTTCTGGGTTAGTTTTCAACATCTTCAGTTCCCCAACTGAGCTTTCCAACTCATGAATGATGGTGCTGGCACAGGGGAGATGGTGGAAATAAGCACCCAGTGAAAAAGCAAGACAGCACCTTTAGTAGTAACCTGCAGTTCGACCAGCCTGAATTTACTGTAGGACTAAACCCTCAGAGACATGTCATTTTCTTCACCTAGATGGAAAGCACTCAAGGCACAGACCTGAAAAATACATTTAAAAAACTGCATGCAACAACCTAACATAATAGTGTGGCCAGCAGGAGTAGGGCAGTGATTGTCCCCCTGTACTCGGCACTGGTGAGGCCCACCTTGAGTACTGTGTTCAGTTTTGGGCCCCTCACTACAAGAAAGACATTGAGGTGTTGGAGCGTGTCCAGAGAAGGGCAACGAACCTGATGAGGGGTCTGGAGCACAAGTCTTATGAGGAGCCGCTGAGGGAACTGGGGTTGTTTAGCCTGGAGAAGAGAAGGCTGAGGGGAGACCTTATCACTCTCTACAACTACCTGAAAGGAGGGGGTAGTGAGGAGGGGTCAGCCTCTTTTCCCAAGTAACAAGCAATAGGACAAGAGGAAATGGCCTCAAGTTACGCCAGGGGAGGTTTAGATTGGATATTAGGAAAAGTTTCTTCACAGAAAGGGTTGTCAAGCATTGGAACAGGCTGTCCAGGGAAGGGGTGGAGTCGCCATCCCTGGAGGTATTTAAAAGACAGGTAGTCGTAGTGCTCATGGACGTGGTTTAGTGG